GTAAAAATATTATTGCTAATAATGGTAAATTGGAAAATTATTGGTATCAACCAATCACTTCATGTTTCTAGTTAAAGAAAAAATGTTGTATGTACACGTCGGGTACATAATTGTATGTATAGAGACATTTTTGTGTGAAGAGAATTGTGTAGCACACTGACAATATTTGTTCCCATGCCACGGGCAATAATAAAGTCGGTGTGCCGCACAAATCTCTTCAAAAATGAAAAAATGTCTGCATACAGACAATTATACGACAAGTGAAATGAAGTGTACAAATTGACGTGTACAAGAAGCATATTATGTTGCTAGTTGAAAGTTATTAATTGTTGTTAGGCTACCCACAATCCTAGAAGTGAAACCCTCAATTTTGAGATTGTACGTCACCCCAAATTTTACTACAATTCAAGTCATAAAATTGTATTCAAGTGTGTCAAAGTGAGTTGGGGCACCCTTTTGGTGGAAGTTGGTACAAGAGACATGGCTAGGTTGAGAGCAATGCTACATTAAGCCCCATTTTCAGCAGCACGTCACGAGTCACAATTCCAGAAAAAGCTTCATCCTAATTTATGAGTAAGTACTCCAATTTCATATCAATTTTTAAAAGTCATTATTTAATTTAAATAAATATTTTATTAGAAGATATTTTAAGTGGTATAATTGATTTTGCTCTTGTCGAGTGTGTGTAATTTTAACATCGATATGGACTTATGCGATCTGATTACCAAAAACTAAACGTAGGCTTGGCTGAGAACTACTCGACACTCACATCCAAATGGATCACATAATCAAATGTGTGGCGACTCACAAGCTCCAATATAAATGTTAAGATCACACACTATTGGTTTCGTGCATCACACTCCGACCTCGGGGGGCGAGTTACCCATTGGGTTTTTCCTAATAAAGGTTTTTAATGAGGCAACTCTCTGGCATGGGCAGAGAGGAGATCTTCCGATCTAGGAGAAGGACAACAAACATTTTGCGGACTACTTTATTTCGCCTCAAGTACTCTCACCCCAAGTAGTGAGGAACTTCTGATATGCTAGTAGACAATGTTTGCATTATTGTACCCCCTATGTGGGCCCAAACAACGGTCTGGATACACTAGTAGATGATATTTTAGATTAATGTTTTATATTATCATCACTTTTATGTAGTCGGGCCTATACAACCCATAGTAGGGGTTCAGACCCGAATTTCCCCTGTAAATATACCCCTTGGGCCATGTAACTTGGAAGGACATTCATTCATACACAAACCCTACTATTCATCATCTTCTCATACATTACCTTGCCAAATTTCTCTAATATTATATTTGGATATTAATAATCCATCAATCATGCTTTTTTTCTTTTTACTAGTTACTTGTACTTTAATTCTGTAAAAATGTCAAAACATTTGCTCTAATTAAGTAAAAACACATATCTAGGATGATATTTGATTTATGGAGTTAGGTAATATTGATTACGTAGTGCATGTGTGTATATATATATTGCGTAGTATGTACTGCATAATGTGTGTGTGTGTTATGTAGTATATAGCAAACAACAAATTGTAAATAGAAAACTCACATGTGCATTGTGGATTTGACAAATGAATATGTGGCACCTTTATGATATTAAGGCTATGTTTGACACGCTTGTTCAGTTAAAAATGACTATTCTTTTTTAAAAGTTAGTCAGTTTTGATTTAAGTAGTTATGTTTACTTGAAGGACTACAAAGAACTTGAGTTGAAATGAATAGATCGAACTCAAATGTCAAGGCATGTAACGTTTGTATTCTTCGTCCATTTGTTTATGAACTTTCTATTCCAATCTCTCTCTCTCTCTCTCTCTCTCTCTCTCTCTCTTGCCCGTTTATGACTGATCACAAGTCTATATGCCATAGATACTTGTAAGGGAAAGACCACATCTAATATGCAAACACATCCTAATATGCTAACCTACAAACCTAATCCTAACCATCCATCTAATTAAGATAACCCTCCATCAAATGACTTAGATTTAAGTCATTTGACTTAAATCTAATACTGGAAGAATAACGTTCCATTCCTTCACCGCCTGTACTCTCGTTAGATCCATTCCATTTTTGTGATTCCCATTAATTCCCTTCCATCTCCGCGATTAATAACTACTCGTCTCCATCTCTCTGCTTCTCTTCGTCTGCCACTAATATCAAAGCTTCTGGTTAATCTCTTTCAATCACTGTTGTCGAACGCCATGGAATCAGTATTCTGTATGAACTCCAATATTATACTGAAAATTTGTGGTTATCATCTTTCAATGTATTCATGAATCACTATGCGTAAGATTTTAATTATTTGATTGATGTGTATATTAAACGTTGATAGTGTCATCTTCCTTCTCTTTTTTGTTTAATTACTTTACTTTAATTCGTTAAACTTCGTTTTACATATGTGGCCTTCGTTAATTTCCTTTCTTAATGTCAGTTTCTAAACAATTTCTAGGGCCACAGAGAAGGGATGATCTTGCTTATAAGTATTTTCATCACAAATTTGTTCTGAAGGGGGGTACAGTGTTTGATGAGGTATACGGTCAATTAGCAAGTTATGCAGCCAATTGCCAGAGCATTGGGGTGAATTTTTATGATATAGATGCAGACATCCGTCTATGTCTCCATCTCCATCTTCATGTGACACCATGAAAATTTCAATTGAGTATACAATGCAAATATCATAAAGATGAGATGCAGCAAATGGTCTTCTACGATGCAAATGTCACAAAGATAAGATGCACCAAATGGTCTTCTACAATGCAGCATATGATCAATTTCATGTTCATGCAAAATTCTTGAAATTTAGATTGCAAAACGTGTACCATTTAAAAGACGTTTGTCATATATTATGCAACTTGCGACACCATAAATTTCATATGCATATCACTTCAATCTACCATGCAGATTTCGTAACTATAAAATGCATCAAATGATTTTGTTCGATGCATATGTCACCTTACTAAAATGCAATATACAAAATTCTATTATGCACATATCATAAGGATAAAATGCAACATATGAGCTACTAAAATGCAGTTGTCATAAAAATAAGATGTTGTATGAACTTTTAAAATGCACATATCAGCTTATTTACTGAAGTTCAATATAAAAACTTCTAAAGTGCACATGTCAAAATGATAAAAGCAATATATATATGAACTACTAAAATGCAGCGCCAACATATTTTATCACTGTATAGTTTTAATATAAGTTATGGAGACATTATAAATATATAATGACATCATGTACCCTTAGTATGCACATTCATCAACCTTAATATGCAAATCTCGTAACCTTTATATGCATACATTTCTACCTTTGATGAGTTCTTAATAAAAACTTAATACTACATATATTACAAGTTCTAACATAACTATGCACACCGTTATTAATATATAATGCATACTTCCTCCGTTCTTTTTTGTTGCAACAGTGAACATTTCACATTGTCAACACACATCTTTGACCGTAAATACATGTTATTCTCTATTAGTAAAAAAAAGTAAAAATCAGTTTTTGAAAATTTGTAATGAGATGAATTGAACAATATTTAAAAAATAATAATTTTCATAAAATAATAGTGTAAAATGTAGTCAAAGTAAAGCATTTGAATAGTGTAAAATTCAACATGTTGCGATAAAAAACGGAGGATAGTATTACATAACTTTAATATTTTAGGTTTCAGAAAAAGGAAGGTTAATTAGGAAGTGGTTAAATCTTTCCTTTTATTGACTTGCTAAATCGCTTGAAATTGTAATCGTGGGTCAAAGAAACTTTTGGGATTTCCTTACGTATCATGGTGTCTCATTTATTAAAAATGTTAATTTACCATGCTAACCTTACTTACTAACCGTGTCCGTATGTTTTCAGTTCGCTATGTTGCACCACACGGTCTGCTACACTGACTTCTATATGGACAACCTTTGATTTGCCAAACTTGAACGCATGAGATTAGTTTGTAGGTTAGCACCGGAAGCTTGGTTTGCACCGGAACCGCCCCCTATTACGTAGTATATAACAAACAACAAATTGTAAATAGAAAACTCACATCTGCATTGTGGATTTGACAAATGCATATGTCGCACCTTTATGATATTAAGGCTATGTTTGACACGCTTGTTCAGTTAAAAATGACTATTCTTTTTTAAAAGTTAGTCAATTTTGATTTAAGTAGTTATGTTTACTTGAAGGACTACAAAGAACTTGAGTTGAAATGAATAGACCGAACTCAAATGTCAAGGCATGTAACATTTGTATTCTTCACTCATTTGTTTATGAACTTTCTATTCCAATCTCTCTCTCTTTTTTGCCCATTTATGAGTTATGACTGATCACAAATATATGTTATAGATACTTGTAAGGGAAAGACCCCATCTACTTACAAATATAATATCACATCTTAGAACTTCCACATTATTGCACCACCAATCTACCATGTTGTTGGAATATATTTTACGTTACTAATCAGTCATAATGAAAAAAAGAATAAATAAAGAATTGTTCTACTCATAACCATCCAATGATTATTTGAAAGACTTGTAAAACACCAACAACTACTCTGTATTACATACTCCCTATATTACAATTACGAAAGTGTAACTCGGTACTTCTAAGTATCAATTCAATTTACTTTCCTAGAAGTTTCTAAAGAAATTACTCGAGATATAACTAAAACATAGGTAAGTCATAAATATGAATAATGATTTTATAATCAAAAGCATATTTTTTTTTATAATTGGAAGTGAATAAATCTCAGTTTGGGAAGAAATAAACAGTGACCTCATTTGCACAATGTCTACACTATTGTACATTTTGTAAACTTTTGAAAGATTATGTCTTCACATCACTTATCCACTAGTGGGCTGGTATAGAGGAGTTCGGTAAGTAGTTAGTTGTACATGTGGTAGTTGAGTGGGGTGGGTATGAGAATAATATATCTATGTCAATGGATGTAAATATGAAAATCCTTTTCATAATGAGAAATGGGTAACTGGTGGACATGAAAATATTAGACCAATATAGGATAAGAGGTACATCCACCTTTCCAACTGCGTTCAGAAAGGATTCAACTCATATTCATAAAACCAAAACAAAAAGTTAGACAATACCAAATGAAAACTGTTGATACACCTCTTTTAATTAATGTCTCGCCAGCTCTTATTAAGGCAAAGCGAGATGTAGAAGAAGCTTTTCTCAAAAGAGAAATTGAAAGGGACACAAGAAGTGAACAAAGGAGAGTGAGAGAGGAGAGTGATGACACTGAGAAGTCAAATCACTACCCCAAAGCCCATCGAATCTGCCAAAAGGTTAAAGACGTAATGCCCTTGCTTCCCATACGATGATACGAATTACGGAGTACTTCAGACATCAATAAATCAATCGAAAAGAGAGAAAAGAAAATGGAAGCTTAAAATCGAGAAACCCCACAACTCAATTCGTGAAGAAAAGTCTCTGCGAATCTTATTAGTCATCCTCCTTTCTCGTTTCCTCTCCATTCTGTCGTTTACATTAGCTCACAGTTTCCCACCACCACCCCTTTTCTTCTTCTTCTTGCCGTTCCCCACCGTTTTTCTGAGGCATTGTATCGACTGTGCGTCTCCCATGTTACCCGCCAGGTCAGTCTCTCTCTCTCTCTCTCTCTCTCTCTCTCCATATATACGGAGTATCTACCTATCTACATATATTTCTCTGTATACTTCTTTCTGTATATGTTAGGAGTTATGGGTATCAATACACACCGAACGTGTTGCCTACTTGTAGGCCAGACAGTTAATTTTTTTTGGTTCTTCACTAAAAACTCACTGTCAAGAAATTGCAATAAAGCTGCCTCCTTTTCTCTCTTTTTGATTTCAACCCTTTTGCGGAAATCCTTTGTTTGTCGCTCCTAATATGAAAGTTGGCGTTTTTTTGCAGACCCAGAAGTGGATTTCGCGGTTTTGTTTGAGTATGTTCTAGATCCACCGTACCTTTCGCAGCAAATGATTCGGAATTTGTGTGAATTGAGTGTTGAAGTGTTCTTCTGAGAAGATCGGAGCGGAGGAGGGTTTGATTTAGTGGTTCGTAGTTAGGGTTTGGGATGGAAGGGAGGATAAAAAAGTACAGGCCTTTGAGCCCGGAAAGGGCCATAGTTTGGACTGAGAAATCTCCGAAGTATAGGCAGAAACAGCAGCCGCTGCCGCAGAGTGAACCACAAAGTGGTAATAGTAAGGATGCAAGAGTTGCGGTTGTGTATTATCTGTGTAGAAATAGACAGCTCGAGCATCCTCATTTCATTGAAGTCTCACCATCTTCCCCTGATGGCCAACTCTATTTGAGAGGTATTCTTTCTTCTTTTACCCACATTTTGTTGTTTTTAGTCCACCAAATTCTTTCTAACCCTCAAATGCTGAAATTCTGTTTTTTAATATAATTTTTTTCATGTGGTGAAGATGTAATTGACCGGCTTAATGTTTTGAGAGGCAGAGGCATGGCTTCATTGTACTCTTGGTCTTGCAAGAGGTAAATAGTCCAATTGTTTAGTTTTCTTCTTTCTTTCTGTGTGTGTGTGTGTGTATTTTGTTGGTTAATTTAGGTTAATGGATATCAAATGCAGGAGCTATAAGAATGGTTTTGTTTGGCATGATCTTTCTGAAGACGACCTCATACTTCCTGCTCATGGCAATGAATATGTTCTCAAGGGTTCAGAACTCATGGAAGATTCAACTTTAGGTATATATATATACACATATATATACTTCGTATATAACTGCTATACCTTGCACCTTTGATTATTGAATTTGGAATATTGATTTAGTTGTCACTCCCTCCATCCCAATTATTATTTTTAACCAATTTTCTATTGTCCCAAATTAATTGTGTTTTAAAGAATTCAATGCCTTTTTCGCTCATTCTTATTATCTTTATTTACATGTGCCCACTTTTGTAGACCGGGAAATATATTTGGGACAAACTGACATAGGGAGTACTAACAAACCCATTCTAATGAATTCCTTACACTCTTGGTTTGGGAGGGGGGCGTCGTAGGGAAGGCTTTGGAGGTGTTATTCTATAATCTATATCTCAATATAGTTTTGAGAATGGAGATTAAGATATTATGCCATCTTATAACATTTTAATCACTTTATCTTCCTTTTTAGAGACACACTACATATGAACTAAGCCCTCCTTAGTCTTCTTCTCCAAAGCCCTTCAAAACTGTATGTCCAAACAGATCCTTAGTTACTAGGAAATTGTTTATTTTGTTGAAGATTGGCGATGCATCGAACCTTGATTTCCATCATCTTTCTGGTAAATTGTATCATTGTACATAATCATGGATTCAGTGATGTTAATAAAATATAATTTCTTATGTCAGGGAATTTCAGCCCGTCTAGAAATGTAAGATTTCAAAACCCAAAACTCCTACCCGAACCTCCATCTGCTAGAAGTCATGATGGTTCGTCATCATCTTCCAGCATGAACGGAAGAGGATCAAAACCTTTACAGGAAGATGAACTTTCTCCCTCAGTTGAACATCCCAATTCATCAGCAGTATCACCTGTGTCTAAAAATTCCTCTTCGAATGGTTCCTTAAGTATGACGGAGTACAAGAATGACTCTGGCTTGGCTGATGCTTCCACACAGACTGAAGGAAACCCAAGCAGAAACAATAGCGTTCGGGAGACCTGTACTAGAGGCGTTTGTACAGATGAGGGGTTTTCTGAGCCTGAAGGGTATGTTTGGTCCTACTGTAAGATTTAAAGCATAATGAAATGTGAATGATGTGTTAATTTTTGTACATATGTTTTAATTTCTCTTTATATGATATAAATTAATTAATTTTTTTTTTCATTTTTAATCCCACAACCATTAGCTCATTGTTACTTTTGTTTTGTTTTTTTGACTTATTACTTGGTTTTTGTTAGTGCACTACTGTATATTCCTATCCATTTTCGGTCATTCTTTTGGTACCTTGATTATTTGTTCATTTTCCTTTTTTGGCATGACTCTTTCCCCTTGTTATGATACGACTTTCCCTGTAAGTAATCAACCAAAACTTGTATGGAAAGTGGGCGGATAAGTAACTAGTAGATGTGTGCCAGAAGTAGAAAAATCAAAGTCGAGGCTCAATAGCAAAAACGATTGAATCACCTAATAGTTGTTGGATCAAAGTAGAATATTTTCATAAATTATTAAATCATGTTTAAACTAATAGAGTATCAACAATATGCTCTGTATTTGTTAAGTGTTAGCCAATGCCTATCCTCATGTTTTCATTCTTTCCCATGTTTTCTTATATATTTCCCTGCTTTATTCTTCCCCTAGCATTTTTCGAGTTCGAAATGGTCCCAAAAAGAATGGGAGCAATGGCATAAAAGAATCATCTGAGATTTGCAAAGAATCCATCTCCCCACCTCCTTCGTCCAGTGTATCTTCAGGTGGTCGAACTGATACCTTAGAATCTCTCCTTAGATCTGATGTAGGTAAGCTCAACAGCTTTAGAGTTCTTGAAGATGAAGAATTTCGGGTTCCCACAACAAAAATTAAGCCTTCAAATATGTTGATGCAATTAATCTCATGCGGGTCCATTGCGGTGAAGGATCACACTTTTGGCATTAGCCCTGTGTACAAGCCAAGATTTTCACATTCAAAGTTTCCATCCCCACTATATTCAACAACCTCATTAACCCTGGGAGAACTTGATTGTCTTGCTGATAATCCTAGATTTATGGGAGTGAGATTGGAAGATAAGGAATATTTCAGCGGGAGTTTGATTGAGACAACTGTGCCCAAAGGAGTAGCTGTTCTTAGAAGGTCATCATCATTTAACGCTGACAGGTCAGTAAGATATTTATTCCCCCACCAGATTCTTTTTTGGTAAAGGTACACCTTTTTAAGTTGGCAAGGTACAACCCTTGAAAGCCATGGATTCATTTATATGTTAAATATTCTTTTTTTTTGGTTGAATTAAAATTTAAATATTGTAGCCGTTTGTAACATTTTGGCAATTTGCTTAAAAAATCAGTTTCAATTAAAAAAGGCACAAAAAAGTCTTTGGGGACATGTTTTTTTGGGCGGAGGGAGTAGTATATGGGTTTTACTTCACTTCGAAGAGATGAGGCTGAGTAATAGTCCGAGTAAGACTAAACTCAGTTTTATACCAAAAATATACACTCCTTGATATAAAAAATACGGAGTATATATTTTCGATCCCTCTACTATTAGGTTCTTTTGGTCGCTAGCTTTCATTTTTTCAATTTTGGTGCACGTGTGGATTCTTTCATCGTTTTGTCCTCCTAACTGCTTATCCTGCAAATTTCTGGTTGGTTATCCCTGGGGAAAGTGAACAGAAAGGATCAAAAGTGACAAGAAATCCATAGTCGTGAGCCAAAAATGAAAAAGGGGAAGTCATCGACAAAAGTGGAACATCATCTTATTGTGAAAAATATGAATTTTTCACATAATCTGTTTGGTGGGGCACATCCGCACATTTAATTGAACGATGTAGATGTTGAAATGCAGGACAAATAGTCAGGTTGATTTAGTTGAAGACAAAGAGGATGCATGCTCAACAGGATTAAAGTGCATCCCACTATCAATCATGGCTTCGATTAGTAAACATCCGAGAAGTGAATCAATGAGGTCTCCACTTTCGGAGGGTCCAAGAATGTCATCTGGTGGTGCAATTACACCTACTGATAGCAGATCAAGAGGTGCAAGTAAGAGAATCACAGAGCCTTTAAGAGAGGCAGATAATGCGATCAAAATCGAAGAAAGTTAAGATTTAAATAATGCCCGAGTTTTTCTTCTGCTTTCCTCTTCATGTTGGTTGGTTGAGATCATTTTCCTGTTTCTTCCAAACAGGCTTGCTTCAGGAGCTCGGATTATAATACAGTCAAACCCTGTCTCGAACGTCTAACAAATTTTGAAGGGTCAAGCATTTTGGCATGGCCACAGCAGATCTTTTTTATTTTATAACTTGAATCACCATTTCTTTATTGTAAATCTGATCTATATATAAATAGATAAAAACTTGAAGCCATTTGAGTAGATGTTGTAGAACAATGAATGGCAATTGCCCCACTGCCCCAGGCTTAGGCCGCTTTGTATTAGAGGTAGCAAAAAGGCTTCTCTTATGCTGCATTGATGCTTATTCTGCTTCTCTTTGAAAGCATAATTAGAATCAGAATCAGTTTTTCAGAAGTTGGTCTCCCCCAACTTCTAAAAAACTGTTTCTAGGAGTTATTTAGAGCATCCAGAAGTACTTCTGCACTTTCATCTAAACACTCCAATATCTGCTCTCGCTTCGTGAATGAGCAGAAGCATTTTTAAGAAGCAGATTCAAATTCCCCGGATTGTAAAATGATTTTTTAACTTGAAGTAAAAAAGTAAGAGTGCACACTGCACAGCATGGCAACTCAACAGAACACATTAAGAAAAAGGAGCATGGGATTCCTCTACCCCTCGTGCATCTTTTGACTTTTCAGACAGCTTTACAAGAAGTGGTTCTTGTGAAGTCTTAACTGTCCATCGTACTAAAGCCGACAAACAAAACTGCATCTTTTTTTATTAGGCAATGATAATTTACGGATATAGAGGAATGGGATTATTGAATAGTCAAGGAAATGATGATCTAAAATTCTAAATAAGGACGGGCCAGTACAGTGCAGAATCAACCGGTATGATTTGGTAAAAACTACAGCTGATTGAATACCATTTCCAAAATTAAGAATCCGTTAACATTATTTTTCGGCTTATCAGGTTTATCAGCCAACTTTTTTAACAAACATGTAACTTTTGCTTTCGCGCGCTGAATTGTGTAATAAGCAGAAAAAGTAAGGTTGAAGTTATTTTATGGCTGTATTGGGTGAAATTACTGTAGAGGACCATTTTAGCTATTTATACATACATTTTTTTCTTTATTTTATTAATGAAATATATTTAAAAAATATCTTTTTCTTAAATTAGAACAATCAACCAAAACAGTCACTTCAGCCAGAACTTCATAAATTTCAGCAGAATCAGCCAAAACAGCCGATTTTCGTGCTACCAAACGGGGCTCTAAATAGGGACACTATTTTTAATTTTTTAGGTTCAAGATCAAAACGAGACCAAGTTGATTTCGATTCGTCTAAAATAGAAATAAAACAGAAGTCCACCTTCTTTGATTTTTAATACTTTTTCAGAGAACCCACACATGATCTTGACTAATATTTTCATCAACCCATCCCTAATTTGCTCGAGAATTGCAAAATGTCATATTGACGAACTGATAGTCTATTTCACTGATCTACTCAATAATTTTTATGCAATCTCTGTTATCTTCATTACTTTATAATCTTTGAACAACTTCAATGAGTTTGTGAAATACAAAAAGAAGATAATCTCATAACGCACATTGATTTAGATTGGGTTCTGGCTTTCAATTTACTTAAACATTTATAAATACCCTGTTGGGATATATTATCCCGGCCTACTACTGTTCAGGAGCCCAAGACATTATCCGGTACGGAGCCTGAGCGGTTAGGCCCATTTCGGCCCATCAGGCCCGTTTCAGCCTATTAGACACACTTCGGCCTTTGGGCCCATTTCGGCCCATTAGGGTGGAAAGCCTCTCTCCCCCTTTCCCCTATTTATAGGAGGGTTTCCCTCCATGTAAAGGGACTTTTGGACCTTTTGGATCTTGCTCCTCCATTAATTTGAGTTTGAATATTGTACTATGTAATGGTGAGGAGAGTCCTAATGAGAAAGAGAAAGCTTGGACATTAGCCTAAAAAGTCTCGTGGTTTTCTCCCTTTCGGGTTTCCACGTAAAAATAGCTTGTTCATACACATTTATACATATATTTACTATATCGTGTTGGATGAAACTCAACACACCCAAATCCCATAATTTTAATATTTTGAAATACACCACTATAGTTTTAATACTTATAAAAATACCCCCATACTCGTATCCGCGTTCTTGTATTTGTGATGCATAGCTGATAACAAATTGAGACTCTAGTCCTTTTATGAATAGAAAAGTCAAAATTTAATACTTCATACGTCCTAAAGACAGATGAATTCTAAGGGCATGCCCTCACCATTAGTAGGTGAGTCATACTCCTTTTCATTTCTTTCTCTTCATTTCCCCTGTCCATTTCTTTTTTACTCTATCTCTCTCCTACAAATCACTAACCTCACCCCACCTTTTATTTTTCCCTACCCCACCCACCTTCTCATCTATCTCACACTCTCTCCAACTGGAAATTTCCCGTCCGTGGAGAGGAGTTCAATTCGTAGTAGGTCTATTGTAGCTGAAGTGATGCATTTTTGAACAAGGTCTAGTTTCATGTGATCCTATCATCCTAATATTACGAAATGGAATGGGTGCATTCACACAACGCTCTAATGCAAACACTAAAAGTCAAATAAAATAATACGATAGTATTAACAACATTAATAATAATAATAACAATGAATCAAACAAAAATGAAAAAAGCTTCGTCAAGAAAAGTAAGTAGATGTCTTTGTAATTAAAACGTGCATTTGATGATGTGGAGGTACAATGGACATATATATCCGTTAGAGATGTTCTACTTGTGCTGACGAATTGGTATACTTTCATCCGAAGTATATTGGACTTGTTTACTTACATTTTAATCTTTACCGGACTAGAATTAATATACTTTCATACGAAGTAGACTAGAATAGATTTAAAGAGATGAGACAAAACAACATTAGATAATGGGAAACATTTCTCAAACAAGACTCTAAGAGTAATGCAAAATTTTGAAAAAGTACTACGTAATATATTTCTCTATATAAATAGGAGTAACTTAATGTCATCCTTAAGTTTTGATGCCATATTTTGGAATATCAAGCTTTAAGGGCCCGTTTGATAACATTGAAATCAATGAATCTTCTGAAATTTATGAAATTCTAACTGAAGTGACTGCACTGACTAAATATGTTGAATTATGCAGAAATTATATTTAAAATATATTTTGTTAATAAAATTAAGGAAAAAAATAAAAACAGAAAAATTGATAGTAATATCAGTCAGAAAAGTAACTCCAACCTCACATATTTGGTTATTTTTCAATCTAGTGCGCGAAGTAAAAAACTACGCATTTGGTAATAAAGTTGACGTATAAGGTTGATAAGGTGAAAATTGGAGTTACCAAAGAGGCTCTATATATGACAATATAGAATGCTTTTACTTGGATTGTAATTTGCTAATCTGGTCCGGTCTGTTCTGATTTCTTTGTAGTTTTATTACTACCCAAGTCTGGTATTGTCTGATCTGGTATGAGACAAATTACAATCCAAATAAAAACATTCATACTATCACAATTTTTTCGAAATAGACGGTGATCACTTGTTTAGGGACATAAAAAGATTTTATTCTTTTTTTTGAAAGAAAAGATTTTATTCTTTAAAAACATTTGTTTTGTTCGCAAATGAAGTTTTATTTTCCAGAAAATAATGTCCACAGCAGGTCTAGGCCAGGTCTTCAAAGTGGGCCGTGCCATAACCAACCCAATATACTTCGCATTTGTTTTGACTGTCCAAGTCGGTGTCAAGTATTAAGCCTGGCTGCCATTGCGCAAGACGTCTGCACTCTACAGAGCAATTTAGGGTACATAGTTGCGACGAAATGAATTCCGAAAATAACCCTCCACCGCCGCTAACGGCGGAGGCACTAGCGCAGCTCCAAGAAGGCATCGCCCTGGTTCTGGCTCGATGGGCTTCTCTACGGATCGCCGTCGAACAGGAGTGGGGCGGCCCCACATCTCGAGAGAAGTACGATGATCTTGCTGCGCGAATCTTCTCCTTTTTTACCCAGTCTAAAGAAAAGGTATACGTCTATGATTTAGAGGACATTCTAGACGATGTTATGATTTCTTCTTTCAATACCGAGCTTGAAGATGGAAGCATTGAGGAGGTAGCAGAAAAGTTGATGATTATGCACGAACAGTGTGCTGAAGGTAACTTTGAATCCATTATTGATCTTAAGAGAACAATGCCCGTGAATTCTGCTCTTTCTTTTAAAAGACAGTTTGTTAGAAATGAAGATGATGATGATGATGATGATGTTGAGAATGATATGATGGGAAACGATTCAGATATGGCAGTGGATTCTTTAGAAAACAAAACAAGTATGGGTCAAAGAGATATGATGGTGGATGAATCAATGGCAGCCACTCCAACTGAAGACGGCTGGACGGTAGTATCCTCAAGGCGTAAAAATGGTAGAAGAAATTAAGCATATAGCTTCCAACAAATTTTGCATCATGTATTTTTCTGTTGATCTGCCTTAGATGTGTTGTATCTTGTGTTTTATAGTAATGTTATACTGCTTAAATGTGGTGTTTTTGTTCGGTCTACCTGTTTTTTAACTCCTTATGTTCTTCATTAAAGGATGAATTTTTGTTTGCTGGTTATGAAATAAAGCATATTAGTGTTTTTGAGTTGCTTGATTGTTGCAGAAAAAAGTTTCTATTTCTGAAAGTTATTGCAAGTTATTAGGAGTATTAATGTATTATTATTCTGTAAAAACTGTTGATGATTGAAGCTGACAGCAAGTGAAATAGCTTGGTTCAGTGAATCCATGATCTTGCTAGAAAAATTAGAAGTATGCAGCTCAACTGGACTAGTCTAAAACTTCAATCTTGGTATTCGGTTGAAAGCTGAATGCATTTTGCCATATTTATTTCCAGTGTTGAACATTAAAGTAGATGGGGTTTGTGTAGTGTTTTAGATATTGGAATCACTTCTTCATACTAGGATTGAGATTTGAGATGGATCGTGGTTTGATCCAAAATTACATTTTTTTTCACAAAGCTTCTCTGGAAAATGGTTGTCCTCAGAATATCAAGAGAATGACTCATTCGGTCATTCCACTCATAACTGTGGTTCATGCCTCATGGTACTTGATTTTAGGAAAAACAATTTATTTCTTGATATGCATGTAAAACCATAAATTGTAGCCTTTTTATAGAACAGAGGGAATACGTTAGAAGCTTTCAATGTCTTACCCAAGGATGAAAATATATTACACTTAAATGATCGAAGTACAAATGATAGTATTGGATTTCCTCGGTCTTACTTTACTCGTTTTATTTTCCTTTTTGAGTTGTCTCAAAATTATTATCACATCTTCTCTATTAGTGCTGGACTCGGGCCGGGCGGCCCGGCCCGGAACCGGCCCGGCCCGGTTACTGTTAGGCCCGGCCCGGCCCGGGGCCCGGTGGGTCCACCGGTTCGGTTCGGCCCGGCCCGGCTGCTGGGCGGTTCGGGCCCGGGCCCAGGTTTTGGTGAACCGGCCCGGCCGGTTCGGGCCCGGTCCGGGCCGGATTTTAATTTTTTTTTTTTTTTTTTTGAAATTTTTTTAAGTTTTAGGTTGGATTAGGTATTTTGGGCCATTTGAGGTGGTTTGGGATGGTTTGGGGTTGAGGGGGAGGGGTAGGGGATTAAATAGGAGACCAAAAAAAAAAAAAAAATTAAGTGGGCCGGTTCGGCCCGGCCCGGCCCGGCCCGGTTTGGCCCGGAACCGGAACCGGAACCGCCCACCGGCGGTTCGGGCCCGGGCCCTAGTTTTCTGGCCCGAGGCCCGGCCGGGCCCAGGCCCGAACCGGGCCCGAACCGGCCCGAGTCCAGCCATATTCTCTATAGAGAAAAGGGAAAAGGGGCAAAAACATCCTTGAAGTTACCACTAAAGGAGATCTATGCCCATAAACTTTAATTTAGAGCAAAAATCTTGACCAAACCTTATAAGAGGGCAAAAAGGCCCTTTACCTAACGGAAACCAGACTAGATACGATGCAGCCGTTAAAGTTTGTTAGTTGGCTATTAAACAGGCCGTATAAACACCAAATGGAAAAGGGAACCATTTAGATTAATTTATCTTTATTTGAACAAGTAAACACTAAAATTCTTTCAAAAAAGTAAACAATAAAATAACTCATTGATTTGAGATTAAAGATATTTATTCCATAAAAAAATCCCAATTTTATGATGTTTGATTTATATTTATTACATAATCAGTACTCAATATTGTAAAATATTAAGTATTACTCTCTCCGTCCCGCTAATATTATCACATTTTATCTTTTTGGAAAATTCCACTAATATTGTTTCATACCTTATTTAGTAAAGTTTGTGTGACTCTAAATTTTCATTATGTTATTCTTACTTTATCAATTAGTGTCAACCACATAAATATATTATTCTTAATAAGTGTGACATCCCCTTCCATCCCTATATTAGTGGCATGGAGGTTGCATTAAATATTAGTCACACCAATTAAATAATTCTTAGACAATGTAAAGTAAATTCAAAAGAGTAAATTCCTCAAATAGGAGTAAAATATCGGCTAATTGTAAAAATAGAACCCCGGTATTTTAAATTTTCTAAATTCGAGTAATTATGTGTTTTTGGACAAATAAATTCATGCATTGTTTATTCGGAAAAAAATACCATGCATTAACACCAGCGGACCGGCCCCCAACTACATGCTGCAGCCCCAGCCACCTGTTGCCGCCCACTTTCGCTAGCCGCCGGCCTCCGCCCTCTGCATCCGCCTACAGACCGGCTGCTTTTGCCTGCTGTCGATCGCCGCCGCCACCATCAGACTGCTCCCCCACAATTATAAAATTATGTTTTCTCATTGTATTAAATTATACGGTGTAAATGTCTTGTACTAAATTACTTTTTTAAATAAAAAATAATTGAGACTTACACTATTTAAATTCTTTTTTACCCACTTTGATCTTAAATCATGGACCTGTCGCTACTCTACAGGTTTTAGACAAATACTTTTTGTGTGAGTACTGACTGCACTTAAGTCGCTTGATCATCATGTTTCTTGCTTAGTGATATTTCCCAGAAAGGATAAACGAGACAATGTTAGCGAGACGGATGGAGAAACAAATATTAAGCATGTGTGATAAATTGAGGACCAAAATCTTCCGGTTTTTTTATTCAATATATAACAAACTGAAATTGAGAAGAAATAATATTCAAAGTAGGGTACACAAATAATAAAATCTACGGAGTCCTTGATAGAAGTGTAGAACGCTTGCGACATAGCGATGGTACTCCCTCCGTCCCGCTATGATTGTCCCGTTTTACCTTTTCGGTCCGTCCCACTAAGATTGTCTCATACCTTATTCGGTAAAGTTTGTGTGGTTCTACATCATTCCTACTTTATTCTTACTTTATCAATTCAATACCAACCACATAAACCCACTTTTATTAATAACCGTGCCACCTTCTCTTGTCCCAAACTTAGGGGGACGGAGGTAGTACTTCGTATACGGCCAGTATAATAACTAACAGAACAATTTTAACGGTTGAGTTGTTTCCGTTAGATAAAGGGGCTTCTTGCAATCTTGCCCTCTTATAAGCTTTGGTCAAGATTTTTGCTCTAAAACAAAGTTTATGGGCATAGATCTCCTTTAGTGGTAACTTCAAGGGTGTTTTTGCCCCTTTTTCCTAGAAAAAATATGTGATTCACATGATTTTACTTTATTATATTCAAATATCAATCACAATTATTACTTTTTCAATCACTTTATTAACTATTTCATCAAACCAAAACAAATCATATAAAATGGGATGAAGGTAACATTGAACTTTTTCTATGTAGGTTGTTTGTATATATGTTAGTATTCATTTACTGGAAATGAATGCCATTTTATCTACATTTATTTTTGAATTTAAGATTTTAAAGTTTTATGCTTAACCTCTGAATTTTTACTTTTTATTTTCTAATTAAATAAAATAATTACAATTTTTTTTACTGATATCTACTTAGATATATCTACCAATATGTTTGCAAAAATAGAGTATGGAAAGATTCATTTTTTATATTTGGTCTTACTCGTAGGTGAGTTAAACATAAATAGGTGAAAAATTCGCGAAAAGTATTTTGATTTTTTGATACATTGTATTTATAAATGATTTTTACTAGGGTTAGGTTTAACCGAGCTGAACCGTACCAAACCATATGTAATTTGGTTTGAGTTTGATAGCATATCTTTCAAACCGTACTAAAACGTGCCGGATCGAAACTAATAAAAATAAAATAAAACCGAACTGAAGTAAGAAATTCGATAGTTCGTACATTATTACTTGGTAAAAATAACAAATGCAAGTTAGCTTGTGTATGGCAAAGGAAGTCTGTCCAATGCAACTGCTCCACTTACTTGAGAAGGCAAGTCCTTCGGGTATTCGAAAGTTAAATCTGGCTCATCACTTAAAGAAGCTATAAGAGCAGCCACTTAATGAGACATTTACTTCTTGAAGGGATTAAGAGATGCTAGCTACCAAAGGATGGAACTCTCTTATCTTTGTATTATGTGAAATCAGTTTGAGAATGACCTGAGAATCAATCTCTAATTGAAAGTCACATACACCCACATTTAGAGTCCATTTAATAACGATTAGAATACAATAAGTTCTTTGCCAATAGTTGAGGAATAGGAGTGTTTAATGTAAAGGGTCAGCCTTAATGCCAATCCATTTTGCAAGAAACTGAAGTGTAGAATATTTAGATGCCTCATTTCATCATAGGTGTTCTTAAGCTGAAAAGAGCCATCGGAGAATAGCTTCTAGTAAGGAATGTTATCCTTAAAATCTGCATATTCCATGCATTGGTGGAACATCACATATTCTCTTTTTTTCTCAGCCCTAGGATATCTTTTGTGTATGTAGTCAGACCAAAAGGATAAATTGTTCCTCCAATTCCACCATAACTTATAGGAGCATGATCAGGGGCGGATCTAGGAATGTGAGATGCCCTGGGCTGAATAGAAATTATACTAGGCTTAAACATTAACGGGGTGGGCTAAATTTGAAAAATGAAAAAATTTACACTAAAAAAATCGAAAAATTTCTAAGTTGCCCTAGGCTTCAGCCCACCATAGCCTGTACATAGATCCTCCCCTGGGAGCATGTATCCTGCAAATGAGTAATTGAACGAATTCCAAGACCACCTTCCAAATAAGGAAAGCATAGACTTTCCCATTTGAGCTAGTGCTGTTTAGGCTTGTCAAAAGAAGCACCTCAAGAGAAAGATGTCATAATCTTATTTAAGATAGAAATTTGAACAGATCTTCCTAGGCCGACTCGGAGGCTATTTATTCACTTGTATTGCCGTTCCTCCCTTGTAAAAGTTTTATTAATTTTCTTTTCCATTTCGCATTGAATAATAGAGATGCTAAGTCTTGTGTTTTCTAGTATTCCCATTTTATGTACAAGGTGAATAAGAGTATGACACTGCCACAATGAATGAATCCTCACTAGTCCGAAGTGTTGCCACCCTTTTAATATTGAGGAGTTGCTTGTAAAAGCTATTGATATGCCCTGAATTTGATCATCCAATGGCTTAAAAATGGCTCGATTTATTATTAATAAAAATTCTTTTTAACATGGACAACAGGTGACCGGGGGGAGGGGTACTGAAGACTACAAAAATTAAAGTGCGTGTTCAAAATATAATAAGAACAACATAGTGTAATAAATTAGC